GTTCTTATAAAAGACGCTTTCACGTCAACGTTGCCGCGCCAACATCAAAAATTATTTCCACTTTCATAATGAAGCATAAATTGGTATCACTTTTCCACATTTCTATATATCTTCAGCTTGATTTCGCCTTGTTTGTAGCCTATTTCCTTGCGCAAACAGTTATTTCTGCAATGTTTCTTCCAATTCAAGAATGAATAGACAGTCATCAGCTAATACAAGAAATGGCTCCCAGTTATGACGCTCAATTTCCTATTTCTTTAGTCGCAGAACTTTGAGACTTTGAACTCCTCTTCCATTCCTACGACCGCGCCCGCTTTGATGATGACCCCTTCAGCCTGGCCCCCAACTCGTGCCCCGGACATCTTTCCTGAAGGCATACACAGCCGGACTTCTCATGTCCCGTCAGGAAGAGATTTTGCGGGACCGTCACAGCAGGCAATTTCATTGCCCATCTTTGCTGGGAAGGAAACGGCTACACTTTGCGGATCCTGCCTGCCGGAGATGTGGGAATCTCGGATGCTCAAAACTTCCACCGGTAAGCCCGCATTAAGTCAGTGCGTATGCCGCATTTTGCTCCAGATTCACTTCAATTGTGGCAAGTAAAACATGTAAACATGTTGCTATGCTCAAAGTTATACCAGTCTAGGATAGCTATCCATATTCTTGAGTTCATTGCTTGCTGATTTTCCAAGTAGCATCTCAAATATATCCAAGTTATGCATACAAACTGTAACTGGGCTTCGATTAATATCTTGAATTAATCTTGTTGGTGAGACCTTCATTTTGTAAAAAATGCATGAAGAGGAGCTTTGAAGGCCATTCCCACTAAAAGACGATAGCGGATTCCTCTTGATCAGCTGTCGATTGGCTTTGCTGGAAGATTCATGCTGACCCTGTTTCCAAGGTACCCTCCTTCGATTCCGGTGAAAATATGCTGAGCTTTCCTCCGTCATATGACGAGCATCATCAGAACAAGGTTTCATCGTCACAACCACATTCAAGCTAACGAGTCAAGAAAACTCGCCGGTGCATCCTTAAATGTGATATATATACCCAAAATATGATCTCTTTGATTATATGTAAAGTGAATTGGTTACGTCAAGTTTCTTGATCCCTCAGCTTGAATATGGCTCTAAGGGTGGTGCCCTGCTTGGATGACGTCCGTCAACCAACGGCCAAACGTTTGGAAATGTACCGCGTCCACGGTCCGACTTTGGAAATAATTATGCATAAAATGGACTCAGGAC